AACTAGCAACGGTCGGCCAATTATTTGATCAAATTAGATGACTTAAAGGCGAATTCCTGCCCCGTCCAGCATAGAAGAATACCGTTGCAAGTTCAGCCCTGGCACTTTCTTACAAAATTGAAATCACACTCGAATGACTGCCCATTTGATTTATACGTCTTACGGGTTAATACGAATGCCGCTTCGCCCACCAAAAAGAGATCTGGTAACAGGTAAGATCCCAAAGATACGTAAAATATAGTCAGCCTGGGTGAGTATGGACCATGAACGCTCCATTCCGCCAAGTGGTTCAGTTGGTATCATGTTCGTCCGGGAGGGCAAAAGCTTCACCTTCATATTGGGTGGTCATCTGAGTCATTTTATAGGCTCCTTAGCATTAAATGCACCAGAGCGATTGTGAGTAGAAGGCGAACCGAACCGAACACTTCCCAAAACGATATAAACGCCAGAAAGGCGGTTATTTCGAAATGCCATCAAAAACTCTACCCATTCCTAACATATATAATTAAGCAGCAAGTAACTAACAGGTTCCATTTATAAACAAAACCAACTTTTTTGGAATCGTGAGTGTTGTGGACACCATTTCGCTCGGCAAATTTGCGGCATTCTTCTACCATATTGTCATGTAAGGCCCATGAACAGCTTGCATTTCCTGCCATGGGGACCACTTTGTGGAAGAGATCTAAACGCGTAGTTCCTTACTTCATTCGAATTTACTTTATTTTATGTAATTTTATTCTCTATCATTCATCATCCGTTTTTTGCTCTATTCCTTCATTTATCTCACTATCAACGAAAAATTTTCACATCTGCATCGAATAGCGAACAAGCCACAGAAGTGGATGGGATAAGCAAATATAAGGAAAATGCTTGGATCCTCACAATCTCCCTATTTTTCTTCGGGCAACTTGTCAGTTGTTTGGAAAGAAGTAAAAATGACGAAGGTTCCATAAGCATACCTCTGGAATGAGGACAGATACTTAGCAGATCGACAGAGGCTCCACCGGCAGATTGGCCCATGACTGTCACGTTGCCAGGATCACCATTGAAAGCAGCTATGTTCTCCTGAACAATAAGTGAGTCTGATACTTTTCTATGTAAATTTGCATTATTTTTTCAGTAAAAGGATAAATACATCCAGGCTTCAGTGCAAACGATGAACAACGTGAGAAACCTCGGAAATCTTCTTTCTAAAAGAGTGTGGAATTGGCTTACCGAGCGCCCCGTGATGAAATTTTATTGAGCATTTGGAATTTACAGTAATTTTGGCCAATTCGACCTTTACCACTCATCACTATGAATTGTTAATTAGCACAATCTAAAACAGACTTTACATACCAAAGAGGTATCGAATGCCCGCAAAAAAATGAACGGTGGCCATCAAATGGAAGTCGGGCAATAGGAACGGTTTTGTATAATATATCCGCCGCACGCGGCTGTCGCGGACCATTTGCCTCGTTATAACAGTTCTGTTGTTCTTCATACAGCTCAATCGCTATGCAATTATTACTTTTGGCATGATTCCACTGTTAGTTCTTTTGCTCCTGTATTTCTTAATTGCTGCTGCATTCTGCTACATTCTTTCGCGNCTCGCCGCGACGCGACAATTTCGTTCCTACTGCAGCACACCCCATCGAAAGTGGGGAAGTTTAGCAGATCTTTTGATGCTATTGAAAAGACTCAAAGGCCGTTAGTTATGCGTCTGTCATATGTCTGGTTTTGCGATATGTTATCATATATCACTATGCCACTATATATAATCATGTAATGAAATATCTAGTACTATCTATTCACCTGAACCCATCTGAGAGCGAGGGTTTGATCCCAGAGAGCGAAGTTTCCCGGACAGTGTTCGTCTCCGGTGGAGAAGAAGCCGAGGAATCCGAGGCGATACTGGATAGTCACAACAACCACGTCTTTCGTGCACTGAACAGATCTCGTAGTTGTGGGGAAGCGAAAAGACAGCCTTTTTGATGCTCTGACCGAAAAGAAGTAGAAATTTAAAACAAACTATAAAGTCCGCACCAGGTGTTCACAGATACCGACATCGCCATACTTTACGCTGCTATCACTAACGTAACCACCTCCGTGGACGAATACCAAAACAGGGAATCCTCCTGAGCCAGTGTCTGGGCTCCACACAGGAGTGAACACATTCAGATAGAGATTATCTTCGGATATCTTCCCTAACTGAAAGAGAACACGTCATTAGATCAGAGAAGGATCAGTGGAGCACAATTCTGCGGGCAAAACACCCGAATAAACTGATAAGCCCAGTCAACAGTAACTTCAAGGGTTTTGTTGAGGGAATGTAAAAGAACAAGCAAAAAGGGATAAGGGAAAAGCGCGGGAAATAGAAGATGACTTCCTAGAATCATTACTTCCCAAAGCAAAGCTGGATTTTCTTCCTCTAGGTCGCAATTAAAAAATAAGAACTGGAGCTTGTTTGTCTACAGTTGAGCAATGACATAAGTTGACATAAAGATCCGTAGTAGTAAAACCGTAGGTTACTCTTTTTATAGACTTTTTGAGCCTGAAAACCCATACCCTGAGAACCTAAACAACCTTCATCTTCTCAAAGAAGTGCGGATCTTTTTGAATTCCTCTGGCAGCGAATCCTTTAGTTACTTTCACATCGTCCCATGGATCTGGCCATTCTGGTTTCTGTAAAACCCACGTTTACATCTGTAATCGAGATCGGATAAGTGGCAGTAACTGTCTGAAGTTCACCTTGAATCGCAGCTCACCAACAGGTGGCTTGGCAAACGGAATCCCTTGGAACGCATCGACCTGGAACAACCTGGTTCAGTTTGATGGGAACTACGTAAACAGGTCAGGACTGCTATGAAACAGTCTTAAAAGTAAACGAAATTTCATGTCTTTAGGTCAGGTAGCACAAATTCTGGAAAGCAATCATAATATGTATATGTTTATTTATTTATTTACTTATGAGTACCCATATATCGCNTTACTTTCACATCGTCCCATGGATCTGGCCATTCTGGTTTCTGTAAAACCCACGTTTACATCTGTAATCGAGAACGGATAAGTGGCAGAAACTGTCTGAAGTACACCTTGAATCGCAGCTCACCCACGGGTGGCTTGGCGAACGGAATTCCTTGGAACGCATCGACCTGGAACAAACAAGTTCAGTTTGATGGGAACTACTACGTAGGCAGTTCAGGACCGCTATGAAATAGCCTTAAAAGTAAACGAGATTTTGTCTTTAGGTCCGGATTTATTTACTTATGAGTACCCATATATCACCATACATAAAGCAGAGGTGGCGTAGCGGCATGTGGCGCACTGTCACACACGCATGGTCACGGGTTTCAATCCAAGATCGAAATACGCCCAAGCCAGATACGCGGAACCTTGGTTGAGTCTTTCCTCCCTCCGCGGTTGAGTAATTGGTGCCAAATACATAAGGGAGGATAAAAGTACTGACTTGCACATCGGCTGGCCACCCCAAGTCATTGTAAAGGCACACACACCTTCAAAGCGCTACTGTAGTTCTGAATGGATGTGGAATGCGAGGAATACCCGAAAAAGGTCTGACACAAACACCAAACATCATTACAATTAAGACGCCTTCTAGCAATTTTGCATATTGGGAATCACCTCAGAATTCTGGTACTAGTTATACCTATTGGCAGCTTGAACAAGATGGATGGACTCAGAGGATGGATGGATGTAGTGGATCTGTGGACCTTCCCTACTCTATTGCGTTGTGAATGTTTCAACGAGAAGGTAAAAAGTGATGACAACTGATAAAGATTGGTGTGTATCACAACACAGAAGTGTTCAAAGGCACAGTTCACGATAATTTTAATGCACCCTTTTAAGGCAGAAAAGTGAAGGTATTGTTGTAGAGGAGCACATCGGTGACGAAGAAAGCGAGAGAATCCATCTACTTCAAGGCTTTTTGAAAGTAGTGGAACTGAGGTTGTACGAGATCACGTGACGGTAGGGGTATGTAAAGGGGTCTCTGGACGAGATTAACTTGCTCCCATCGCTCAAAGAGATGACTACATCAAGCCGAAATTTTCCAAACTGCCTTTCACTGTCGCCATGGGTTATGACAAGCTGTTTGTATTTTCTACATGGACTTTTGAGGGAGTGCAGCCTCTAGAAAGTTGTTGGAACTCGTCCACTATGGGTGTGGCATTCACACGATACATCCTCTGGCCCCTTATTGTGCCCTATACATGAAGTCTTCCGACTTTATATCGGCAAGTATGTTATAAGGGTGGGCCTCGAATAGGGAAATCTAAAAAACCATTTTCATCGCGAACTGTGCCTCTAACTAAAATCGTTGAATTACTTTTTTTCAAAAAACGTCTCTAGAGAAAAGAGAAGAAAATATAAGTCATTGAAATTGGAAACTTTAAAAGAAGTCTCATACATTCCTATCAGATTTATCGCACCTCTTTCTCGCCAAAAACGAATCGCCTTCCGATGATGCTGCCAAACTTTGTCTTCACCAAACGAGAATCCCTCCACGGTCGAGGAGTACTTGGTCCATGACCCATAATTAATGGTTTCAAAAATTCTGGAATTCAAAAGCTTAGCACTCTAAGTTACACGAATAACTACGGTCATTCAACAGCGAGTATCGGTTGGGAGGACATGAGCAGATTAATATATTCATCAATCCATGGCCACTGGTAGTAGAGTTGCCCGAACACTCGTATTGATCGGAAGATAGGCCATGTTTACTAGAAAAGAACCTTCTCAATTGCCTACACTTTTCGGTTCACTTTGCTGAGTCCCTATGCACTTCCGCAATGGTATTGACATAAAAGTTCAAAGGCAATTCGTTGTTCACAAGTACAAGAATGAGCTAAACTTGGCACTCGACCAGAGAGGGCGATATGGCTGAAAATGTCCAGCTATCCGCCTGATTGTCGCCATCCAACTTCCGCCAATTTTAATCTTTAGGGCACTGGGCTCGAGTTATAGGATCACGATAACCATCTGCTACTAGAGAGGGGGCAATGAAGAGCATCAGACAAAGGTTAAAAGAGATGGAAGAATGGAAAGAGGCATACATAGAACGAAAGAAAGGAAGGTCGATAGATACAGAGCTACCTTCATTCTTCATTCATTTCCCGTATGAATGGAATGAAATCGACAGAAAAAAAGTGAAAGCGAAAAGAGATGCAAAAAGGAAGAAAAAGCGGTCGCTAGCGAACAGAAATCACAAAGAAGACTGGAAATGTCCAAAGATATCACGACAAGCTGAGAAGGAAATCTCGGATTGGATGAGCCTAGGAGGTAACTTGTATGTCAATTTCCTCCCTTTGAACCTAGGCCAGACAATGTGCACTGGAGTCTCATTACTGAGGTCTTTTCAGGATCCGATAGAAATGAAGCGAGTTGTAGGGTTTGTTGGGCAAAGGACCAATAGCACTTACTTGGGAGCAAGATGTTTCGGGAGCATCTTAGGGTTGCCATCGCGGGCGACTGACAACATTTAGCGGATCAAACATCTCCCGAGCGAAATCATTGTTTTTCAGTCGATGATAGCTCTCTGCATGTGACGATTCGATAGGCCATTGCACCACGCTGGCGACAGAAATCACAATGCGTAAACAAATATTGACAGCTTGTTTTGCCCTGGCAGTAGCACGAGAATTTACTCTTATCGTTGTTGAGAATTAGAGAAATCAAACAATTAAGACTGCTGGGATGCATAACACCTTTGTATGTTTGAGTTATCTACTAATCTGTCTGGCCTAGGTGCCTAACATTGTGGATTTTGAATGGTACGGGTGCTTTCACGAAATATCTGCCGAAAACTTCACAGGAGTTCATTTTTCGGGGATGTTCTGGAGGTTTCCACAGAAATACTTTTAATGGACATTTGTATGGATACACATTTGTATGTGCATAATATATCAGGAGATTTCATGATATCGCAACTGATTGACCACACCGAGGTTCATTCTCGATCATTTTGATCCGGGGTGTCGGCTACGGTGAGAACCAAGGGACCAGCTGCCGAGCCGAGTGGTCTCGAGAGCCGGCTGGTCCCGAGAGACGCCCCATGCGTCCCCATCGTTGAAGTCTTGAAACGAAATGTGCACAGAACTACAAGGGGATTCGATGCCAAATACCTAGCACAAGTTCTCATGAACTTCCCCAGTGGATTCGCCAAATTCGATTATGGGAAAACATTAAAGAGTTCGGCCATTATAGAATTAAATGGACAAGAAANGGGGAGTCGGAAATGTTATGCGCACACAACTAGGTAAGGCCCTTTGATGGCCCTATGGAAACTGCATTTTAAGAATTCTGGAGTGCTCTGGAGAAAAATCTAAATCACTTCAAAGTTTTTGGCCGATACTTTCCGAAAGACCTCGCGAATACGCATGACATAGCCGAATTTCGTCTTTACCACTCGAGAATCTTCACAGGGCTGAGGAAAACTTGAGCCATGGCCCATATTTTGATTATTTCAAGAACTCTAAAAATTCGGAATTTTGAGTAGTTCAGTGCTATCTACAGCAGCACGCTGCAAGATTAATCAAATTCGATACAATGACAACAACGGCAGTCTCACATCGCTGCTCTTTGCAAACAAGCACCATTAAAACGAATCACACGACCTTATCGCAATGTAGACTTACTGTTGTTGTTCATTCTAGGTAGAAGAATCTTTTTTCAGCACTGAAACTTTTATCAAAGCATCTTTCCCTGAAAAAAATCGTGCAAAATTTTGACTAGCACTGGAGTCTGAATACTGTAAATAGAGGCCTAAATTTGCTTGTCGAATTTGTAGACAACAACACGACACTGGCATCACCTGTCTCTCCATTTCCCTCAGCGAAGAACGGCAATTTTAGAGAAGTCAGGACAACGACGATTGACTGAAGTGCAAAAGAGCTCTGGACTAGCTAATCACGATGAGATACTGTGAAGAGGAACGGAAAGCTGCTTTCCCGAAACCAAGTTTCCCCTCACCGAAGTTCGAACTGGGCTATGAGCTACTTCTTCAACTGCCCAACTTAATCGATTTCTACCTCTTCTGTTCCTCGGAAATTTTTCGAATTAGACGAAGGACAAAAAATTCGTGTAGGGAACACAATGACTGGATTGAATCGAAGGATTACGAGTTCTGCGAGTCTGCGGTGGGGTTTTCACCGCAACTAAGATAGAAATCTGCCACGGCTGATAGTCCTTCATACCTTTCATGAAGGCGTCAAATTTTTTTTGCCAAAATGGCCACCTTTCTTATCGGTACAAAACTTATTTTATTACCTGGTAAGTAAGGAAATTCGGTGAAAACAAAAAGGCGATCAGCCGAAACAATACAACTGACCGTTGTCATGACAAACAGTGTGAGGGTCACTATGGATTGGAAAGCAACAAAAGTAGAAGAAAAATGAGATACGATCAACCAAAAAACAAAATGATCCTAACAAGAAGTACTGATTGCGAAAGAAGCAGGTTTCCAACTCACTCCATGTACTTCTAAGGGGCCTGCTCGTTCATTCAAAATGCCAGAAAAAAAAGATTGGGCGGGTTTCTAAAGGCACGGTTCACGATAAAAACGTTATTGAGTTCTTACCTTATTAATACTCAGCGGCCCCCACGGGCTGTAGAAGGGACCCTCTTATTCCCCCATCTCGACATC